GAGCCTGGGCTGCGCCGCCGATGCGGGACTTTCCGACGGCGCCCGCAGGGTTCCTGGCGTGCTTGGTCAGGAGAAGGGACTGGGGTCCCGGCGCAGAGGTGAGGTAGCAGTCCCGCCCGTGACCCCGGGCGCGCGCAACTACCAGTAAAGCGGCGGGCGCCGGGCGGCCCCAGCGGTTTTCGGGGAAACGCAGAGGGGCTGCGGACCCGCAGAGCCGGGCAGCGGCGCTCGGTGCTCCGTGGCGGGGAGGACACAACTTGGACTCCCCGGGACCTGGGGACACCGGCATCCCGCGTGTGGGCGGGAGTGTACACCCTGTGCCCGCAGAGGCCGGACACGGGCGCCCCGTAGTCATCTCGGGGACACACCTTGTCCTCTCGCGGACTCGGGAACACCGGCTCTGGAGACTCACGGCGTCCCGCGCGGCCGCAAACCAATCCTGCATCCCGGGGACACACCCGAGGACTCACGCACACCTAGAGCCGGGAATAAGTCATCGGATTCTGGGGAGAGGAATTCTCAGAAGCTCAGGGAAGCCAAAAGGCGCGCGACTTCTGGGACTGACTGGCCGTTTAAAGAGAGGAGCGAGCTACAAGGTTAGGGGAGACACCTCATCCTGGGCAGGCACTCCTGCCTGCCTTCCCGAGAGCCAGAGAGAAACCTGCCCGACTCGCCCTGGTCTCGGCCCAGAGAGAGCGCGCTCGCTCCAGTACTCGGTGAGGCTCAGAGGCACACACACCGCAATTGAGTCCAAATCCAGGATCACTTTCATGCTGAAAGAGAGGCCACAAGGAAGCCGGTTATGAGCATGCAGTAGCGATGTGGAAGAAAGGAGACAGAAGTGGACACATTCCATATGGGAAGCCAGTGACATTTTACTCCGAGAGGAGAGACGGAGTGAGGACGAGCTAACACTCCACAGGGCATTCTGACAAAGCCCATACTAAGGAACATATTCCAACTGATCTCATAAAATGGGCACCGAGCAGCAGAGGGGTACCCGAGACAGGCTCACACTCTTATTCAGATAAAAGTGGAGAAAAGAATTAACATCTGTTGAGCTCCCACTAGTGCCAGGCACTTTAAATGCATACAGAGAAAACAGTTCTAGGCAGAACCACAGGAGAGGCTGAACCTGAGCCAGCAGAGTGGCTTCCACCACACACACACACATGCACACAGGGGTGGCACCAACAGTTGTGCGCATCCTGGGAAGTGTATGAATTCACATGATAGGGTATTTATAAACAGAGAAGGAAAGATTCAGAACATACTCAGGATGTCACCCAGAGAATTGGACGGACACATGTGTTGTGCACCACAGAAGCATATGGTGAAAAACAGTCACAGGTTTTGTGGGGGATTTAGGGGAGGGCAGCAGGGAGGGGTGCAAGTACAGGGAGAAACATACCTTCCTACACCCAGGGAGAATACCTCAAATATGGCTGGGAGATGAGTATGCAGCCAACAATAAGGACAGAAAAATAGAAGAAATAAAACTGAGTGCGCCTGTAGCTACTCTCCAGACAGGCGCACCTGCACGAAAGAGGCCAGCAACCAGCATGGAGTGGGAGGCCCATATGAGGGAAGCCAGACACTCAGGCAGGCAGAAGGACCAAGGCTGACAGTGGAGAGAAACTCAGCCCTGCAAGATGAAGAGATAAGCTTGCTGGTTCCAAGGGAAGGGCGTGGGAAGGGAAGGGCAGGGGAAGGAATGAAGGTGAGAAGAAGGCAGCCCAGGGTATGGAAAGAGGAAAATACACAGGCCAGGAGAAAGGCTGAGCAGAAGCCCAACCCTTACAGACCTGAGGACAGAGAAGACTGGCATATGTGGGGTGGGGGAAGGCATCTCTGGGGACAGTAGGTCAGCCAGCCACTTTGGGAAACAAACAAACCATACAGTTAAACAATGAGATTGCACCACACACTTTTCAGGGAACTGGTGGCCTGAAGAGGCCCACTTGGGGAAAAGAGAAGTTAGTGCCCAGGATAAGTGAAGTGACAGAGGAGCCCAGTACCCACTGATCTCCCTGGGGCCCAGAAAGGAGTTCAGTGTGTTTTCTTACCTTTGTGTGGCCTTCATTTCTGCCTGGTATATACCCTAATGTTCTCACCTCGCTTTATCTGTCAGTATTTTCCAGGAGACTCTCTCAGTCCACTACTTAGTTTTTATTTTTATTTTAATGTTGATTGTTTTAATTAAGGTACTAAAATGAAATCGGTGGGTTTGTTTGCTCTTAACTTTTCTTATTGCCTATTAATATCATTAATATCATTATTCTCTTTTCCTGTTTCTGGCCATGTACATTAATCAGATCAGTCCATAAGAGCACCAAAGGAAAGGGAGAAGACTCTCTGAGTGTCTCACTTTTCTAAGCAGGAAACCTGGTAGATTACATTAGCCTTAGAATTAATTCCCTTTCTAAAAAACTGGTGGAAGAAGCCGTGCATGCTCGCAGTGGGAGGGGGTGAAAAAGCTGACTTGGACTTTTCTGTTGCATGCTGCCTTGTTTCTGACTTAACCAGCTCCTGTCCTCTACTCTGTCACTTTTTTTTTTAAATTTAAATCAGTTTTATTTAAGAATGTCCAACAATGACAACTTATAACAACAATCACACTTTAGCTATACTTTTTTTATTTAACTTTTAAAAAAAACTTTATTAAGAATTTCACACATGATATAAGGTTACTTTTTTTTTTTTTTTTTTAAAGAAACACTTATAGTGAGGTGTGGTGGCACACACCTTTAATCATAGCATTTGGGATGCAGAGACAGGCAGATCTCTGTGAGTTTGAGGCCAGCCTGGTCTACATAGTGAGTTCCAGGCCAGCTGAGGCTACAGGGAGACCCTGTCTCAAAAAGACACCCCTGCCCCCAAAATTAGAAAAGAAAAGGAAAAAAAAAAGAAACACTTGTTAAAAGGTTTGGAAAAGCAAGTAGAAATTGGAGTGAAAATGTCAAGTGTAGCTGGAGGACAAGTGGGAAGTAGTGAAGGTTTTTGGGTAATGTTTGCACTGTCTCTGCTTACTGCAGGATACTCGGCGTATATTATGACTCCCACAGGCATGCTTGAGTGCCTCTCCTCCTGGCCCAGCCATACCAGTGATCCCCAATGCACAGGCACAGTAACAGTTGCTAACAGTGGGCATCTGTCCTTTACGGGAAAGATATTTATTTGGACTTTTTCACTTTTCTTCAGAAGTGGAGCTTATGACTTTAAATTGGAACTGTTCTTTGAGATGATGTTGGCTTGTTGGATAATAAAGGGGAAAGTTTGGGGGTGGTTAATCTTGTTCTCTCTCTCTCTCTCTCTCTCTCTCTCTCTCTCTCTCTCTCTCTCTCTCTCTCTCAATAAAAAAAGTGATTTTTAGTCCTCACATAAAACTGCCCCTGCAGTTCCTGTGCTAATATAGGAGGGTGCTTGGTAACAAATGGCTACCAAGTAGCTTAATGCAAATTAATAATTATTCCTCTTCTAATGACTTTCTAAGAGTCAAAAGTTTCAACAGGTTTATTTGCTAAATTAAGCATCAGAGAATTCTTTGTCCATATTATTTTTGAGTTTAGGGATTTTAGGAAGCTATCATTTCTACAAATTATACAATTCTTTTTTTTTTTTTTATGTGTATGAGTGTATTGCTTGCATGTAGGAAGGTGCACCCCTGTCCTGCAGTGCCTACAGAGGTCAGAAGAAAGTGTTGAATCGCCTGGAACTGGAGTTACAGATGGTTGTTAGCCTCCATGTGGGTGCTGGGACTCAAACCTGGGACCTCTGCAAGAGCATTCAGTGCTCTTAACCACTGACTGAGCCATTTCTCCAGCCCCAATAAGTCTGTAGATGTAATCAAACAAATGTACCAAGCTCACAGGGTTCATAGAAACAGAATCTGAAGAAAATACTATGATCTTGGTTTTCTCAAATCACAATTCCTCGTTGTTTATTTATCATAATAACTTGATTTGCCTTCATTATTCAAGCTTTCTGTTTTCAGAGAGGAAACCTTGGGAACATTTGTAAATGGGTAGGGGAACACTGAGAGTCATAGTTGGAGTAAATACCTCTTAAAAGTTGGTTTCCACTCATTTTGTACACAGAAACAGTTTCAAAATGGTTATAAAATATTAACAGGAAAGAGCAAATCAAACCTCTATCCAGACAAGACACAATAAAACTCACCATCTCCTAAAAAAAAGAAAAAAAAATATTAACAGGAAAGTTTTCATGATTTACAAAAAATTTCACATATTCTAATACAGATGTGTAGAATATCAAGCTTTGTTGAAATGCAGGTAGATAACTTTAAATAAAAGGACAAACAACTAAATAAAATCACAAATTACAGCTGTATAGTCATTGTGAATTAGACATATGTTAAAGGAGCATATGTTACTATAATTTCATATTTCTCCCAATGTCCAACTCCATTTAAAATTAAAATATATTTTGCTGATTTCTCTAATAATATAACTTACTAACTTGCTTCCTTTTGACATTTTATAATATGTTTATATAATAAAAATCTCAAAATAGATTTTTAGATTTTGTTACTGCTGAGCCTGCCAATTTGCCTCCCCTGCCCCAACCCCCTTTCTTTTTAGATAATGGGGATCAAATGTAAGGCCTGACATAAGCTAGGCAAGCACTCTCTCTGCCTCTGAACTATAGCCCCAGCACGTTTTGGAGACAGAACCTCATGTATTCCATCCAGGCTGGCCCAGAACCTGCTGTATAGATGAGGATGGCCTTGAACTTCTGGTCTTCTTGATTCCACCTCCCAAGTGCTAGGATTGCAGGCTATGTACCACTACACC